TGGTGCTGTATGCCTGTAATCCCAGCTACTTGGGAGGCTGAAGCAGGAGAATCACTTGAACCCTGGAGGCAGAGGTTGCAATGAGCCGAGATCGTGCCATTGCACTCCAGGCTGGACTACAGCGAGAAGCGAGAGACTCTGTCTCAAAAAAAAAAAAAAAAGAAAGAAGAAAGAAAACAGCCGGGCGTGGTGGCGCCCGCCTGTAATCCCAGCTACTCAGGAGGCTGAGGCAGGAGAATCGCTTGAGCCTGGGAGGCGGAGGTTGCGGTGAGCTGAGATAGCGCCACTGCACTCCAGCCTGGGTGATAGAGCGAGACTCCGTCTCAGAAACGTATATATATATACACACACACACACACACACATATATAGCAAGGAACAAGCTAAGGTGGAGGCATGGAATGTATTTATGCTAAAAATTATTCATTGTTTACCCAAAATCCAAATTTAAGCGTCCTGTATATTTATCTGCTAAACCTGGTAACTCTATCAAGCTCTCCAGCTTCCCATGCTGAGTCCCCTGACCATGCTCTCCTTTCCTCGGCGGTCCCTGGGACAGCTGCCCCCCAACCCCCGCCACCGACCCACCCACTCAAACACGACCGGCCTAGCACCTGGGCGCAGGAACCGTCCCAGTTCCCGGAAGTCCCGCCCCCCGTACCCGCTCGTGCGCTCCTGTAGCCGCACGTCTTCCAGGAACTGGTCAACCTCCAACCCCAGCGGCTCCTGAGCTAGCCGCCGCCAGCCCCGCTTCTTATTTCTTGGGCCTCGCCGCCGCCGCCTCAGCGCTGGGTCCACCGAAGTAGGCCGCAGCCCCAGGAAACCAGAATCGGCATCACTTTTCGAGCTGTGCTTCCCACCACCTCCACGGCCTCCTGCCGCCATCTTGTCAAAGAAAGAATTCAGCCGCTGGCGTCCCAAAAAGCCTCTTTGCAGCGTGCGCGCGCAGGTTTCCTACCCTCTTCCGTGACGTACTTCCTGTGGCAGCCATATTTGTAAAGTGACTAGAGTTGCTAGGAGGCTGTCATCTTGGTAAAGGATAAATGGCTACCCCTTCCTCCATTCTTTTTTTTTTTTTTTTTGAGACGGAGTCTCGCGCTGTGTCACCCAGGCTGGAGTACAGTGGCGCGATCTCGGCTCACTGCAAGCTCCGCCTCCCAGGTTCACGCCATTCTCCTGCCTCAGGCTCCGAGTAGCTGGGACTACAGGCGCCCGCCACCACGCCCGGCTAGTTTTTTTGTATTTTTAGTAGAGACGGGGTTTCACCATGTTAGCCAGGATGGTCTCGATCTCCTGACCTCGTGATCCACCCGCCTCGGCCTCCCAAAGTGCTGGGATTACAGGCTTGAGCCACCGCGCCCGGCCACTTCCTCCATTCTTTACAGCGGGATCTGAAGACTCCTAACGGCGGCGGGTGGTAGAAGAGAGATGGGAAGGTTGCAGTTTTTGGCTCTCGCCCTTAACCGAACACCTGGCCGCCTGGGGTCTTCGCTCAAACTGATTTTTTTCTTTAATAGACAAGGTCTCACTTTGTTGCCCCCAGGCTGGAGTGCAGTGGAAGGGTAATAGCTCACTGAAGCCTCCAACTCCTAAACTCAGAGATCCTCCTACCTCAGTCTCCCAAGTAGCTGCGACCACAGAAGCGTGCAACCACACCTGGCTAATTTTTTATTTTTATTTTTTGTAGAAATGGAGCCTACCCATGTTGCCCAGGCTGGTCTCGAACATCTGGTTTCAAGTGATCCTCTTTCCTAGACCTTCCAAAGTGCTGGGATTACAGCCTCACACCACCACTCCTGGTCCAAACTGATGTGGTTTTTTTTCAAGAGACAAAGATCTCACTATGTTGTCCAGGCTGGTCTTGAACCCCAGGGCTCAAGTAATTCTCCCTCCTCAGCCTCCGAAAGTGCTCAGATTACAGATGTGAGCCACCATGCTCGGCCTTATAATTTTTTAATCTCATTTTCTTCGAACAGTCAGTGGCAGATTCTGCACAGCACATGTTCCACTCTCAGTTTTGTCATCTCAAATGTTCCAATCCTAGGATCTTGGAAATCAAGTAACTTTCGGAATATCAAAGTTGGAAGCACAGAACATTAGAGGAATGTTAGAAACATACACTTTTAGGACCCTAAAAGTGCAGACTCAAGAATCATTCATCTTGAGCAGGCTACTTCGCTGTGCCTCAGTTTCCTCATATGCAAAATAAGGATGATAACGGTACATCTGCCTCATAAATCATGCAGAAGATTAAACATATGTAAAGCACTTAAGGCTGCGTCTGGCGTCTGAGTGTTAGCTGTTGTTAGTGCCTTGCCCTCTGAGGCTTCATCTTAGAATCAACTCATCTTTGCTATTTACAAATAAGGAAGGAAGCTCGGAGGCTCTTGGGCCCTGGCAGCCATTCAAAGGGATCCATGGCAGGGGGCGTGGTGATTCACGCCTGTAATCCCAGCACTCTGGGAGGCCGATGCAGGAGGATGGCTTGAGCCCAGGAATTCAAGACCAGCCTGGGCAACATAGTGAGATACTGTGTCTGCCAAAAATTTAAAAATTAGCCAGGCGTGGTGGTGTGCGCCTGTAGTCCCAGGTACTCAGGAGGCTAAGGTGGGAGGATCGCTTGAGCCCAGGAGTTGGAGGGTGCAGTGAGCTGTGATTGCACCATTGTACTTCAGCCTGGGTGACAGCAAGACCCTGTCTCAAAAACAAATCAAAGGGAACCAGACCTCATAAAAGTCACTTTGGACTCATAAAGGAAAAAGGCACAGAGAGGGAAGGCGCCACACTCATGGTCAGACACAACTGAACTCAGCTGGATCCTTGCGCAGAGCTTTGGAAAGGTGACAGGCCCTGGATCGTAGCCCCGGGACCTGAGCGCCCGACCGCCTGGGACGGAGATTTTGGAGACCACAGCCTGTCTTGTCTCCTGAACGTCCGCCAGGGGGCGCCGCGAGCCGCGAAACTGGGCCCGCGTGGGCGGGATGAGCGCGCGGCCAGCGTGTCCCGGGACGCCGTGGGTGTGGCCTGGGTGTAAGTGCGCGGGACCGGGCGCGTACGGTGCGCTGCCCAGCTCTGGCGAAGAGCCCCCAGGACGTGAGCACGCGCACACTCCTGGCAGCGCGTGTGGGCAAGGAAACCAGTATGTCCCTGGTGTTACGCGTCGGGAGTTATGTACCCAGGTTGTGCAAGGGCACGTTGCCGGGCAGGGCGGGGGCTAGGGGAGCACTTCGTGCCCGAAGACACACACACAACACACACACACACACACACACCCCGCACACACACACACACACACACACACACCCCGCACACACACACACAAACACACACACACACACACACCCCGCGCGCGCGCACACACACACACACACACCCCGCGCGCGCGCACACACACACACACACACACCCCGCGCGCGCCCCAGGGCTTGGTTCCCAGGCCCCCGCCACAGGAGGTGGGAGGGAGGGATGTCCCGGGGGGAGAGCCCCAGAGTCACTTTTCTTCGGAAAATATGCCGATCTGGCCCCCAGCCCAGGCCTGAGTCACCAGGCCTCGCTGCATTGAGTCACGGACTCCACCCCGCCCCTGAGAGCACGGAAGGGGGCCTCCCCCAACCCCAAATCCTGCCCAGCTCTCTCCTTCCCTGGGGGAGGGCGGGGGATCCCTGTCCCAAGTCAGCCTGACTGCCACATGGGAAGAAGCCTTGGCTTTATTCGCTCTGTGGGGACACTGTTCCGTTCAGAGGCCCCTCCCAGCCACGGGGTGGGGGACAATGGTGGGCGTGGGAATCCCAGCGAGCATCCTGGAGGGGGCATCGTCTCCATGTATTTTGCTCTTCCCCATCTTTTCCATGGGGTCCCCTGCCAGGGTCAAGCACTAATAACGTGATGAAGGCAGCAGATAGCGTCGGGGTCCCTTTAGGGGTGGGGAGAGGGCTGTAGCACCAAGAACCCCCCTCCCCCGCCCACGACATCCCTGAAAAGACTAAAATAAAGCCCCGAGGCCTTTCTATGTAGGGGCTCCACTTAAATATGGAATGGTGATGGGCAGAGAGGCGGTGGCCCAGCAATCCTTAAGTCCAGACCACCAGCTGTGGGGAGGCTTCCAGGGGGCCAGGAGCAGGCTGGGCATTTCCAGCCACGGACAAGTGGAGGATGGAAATACCTCCAAGGGGGTACAGTCTCGGAGGAGCGGGATGGAAGGGGTTTTTCTTCCTGCTACAGGATCCTTTTAAAAGAAATGGGTGTGAAGCTGGGCACGGTGGCTCATGTCTGTAATCCCAGCAGTTTGGGAGGCCGAGGCAAGCAGATCACCTGAGATGAGGAGTTCAAGACCAGCCTGGCCAACATGGTGAAAATCCGTCTCTACTCAAAATACGAAAATTAGCTGGACATGGTGGCTCATGCTTGCAGTCCCAGCTACTCGGGAGGCTGAGGCATGAGAATCACTTGAACCCAGGAGGTGGAGGTTGCAGTGAGCCGAGATCTCACCACTGCACTCCAGCCCGGGTGACAGAGAAAGACTCTATTAAAAAAAGAAAAGAAAAGAAAGGAAAGGAAAAGAGAGAGAGAGAGGGAGGGAGGGAAAGAAAAAGAAGGAAGGAAGGAAGGAGAAAGAAAGAGGAAAGAAAGAAAGAAAAGGAAAGAAAGAGAGAAAGGAAGGAAGGAAGAAGGAAGGGAAGGAGGGAGGGAGGGAATGGGTGTGAACAAAATTGGGGGCAAAAACAAAACAGAAAAGTAAGGAAGGAAGAAAAGGAAGAGAAGGAAGGAAGGAAGGAGGGAAGGAAGGAAGGAAGGAAAGAAGGAAAGAAAGAAGATTGTGTCTCCCCTCTGAGCCCCCATGGTCCCGAGACCTGAGGCTGTGATGGAGTGGGTTGAGAGTCTGGCCTGGCTGGGCAGGAGGAAGCGGAGCAGAAGAGGGTCTATCAGTCATTTCAACCACAGGGCTGCTCACCCAGGGAAGGGGCTGGGGTCGTGCCAGGAATTAGTGTGTGTTTGTGTGACTGTGTAAGTACCCTCTCCTGGGAATGTCACCTTCCATGAGGGCAGATGTATTTGTCTATTTTGTTCTCTGTGGTAATGCCCGGTGCCTAGAACAGGGCTGGGCACATAGTAGGTGCTCAATAAATATTTGAATGAAGGATAGATGGATGGATGGATGGATGCCTGCGCGTGCCAGTGTCTGTGTGATGTGCCTAAGTGAACGTGAGGCTGGAAGTGTGAAGGGCGGACAGAGAAGCCTTGTCCCTCCCGTGGTCCCCTCTAAACCCTTCCACCGGGGTGTCTGGTGGTAGTGGGGAGGGAGACCCCCGGTCCTTACAGCTGGGCAGGGAGGGCAGGCAGGGCATGTGTGAGCTGGGGCAGGGGTGTGCATGCAGCCGACTGGAGCTGGGGAGCCACAGCAGGGCCAGGGGAGGGGGGCCGGCTCACTCGGCGGAGCCCTTGTGGCGTCGCTTGGAGGGTGGCACCAGGCGACGGGGCAGGTTGGCGGGCAGCCCGTGACCCTCCAGCTTGGCCTCGATGAGGTGACTGGCCAGCGCGAACTCCTCGTCATCCAGCATGCCGTCGCGGTCCACATCGCTCAGCTTCCAGATGCGCCCCAGAACCGAGTTGGGGAGTTTGGTCCCCACCATCCAGGTCTTGGCCTTGGAGCCGCTCAGCTTGCCATCGGCAGGTGCCAGGTTGTAGAAGATCTCGTCGTATTTGGACTTGTCCTTGGTCACCACCCACTCAGCCTCGTCGTCCGAACCCTCCTCGCCGTCCTCCATGGCCTCGTCAGGTCCCCGCTCCACGAACGGGCCCATGTGGGTGCCCTCAAAAGCGCCCCCCTGCACACCCACCTCGGTATTCTCCAGCTCCTCCTGCCGCAGCAGGGGCATGAGCTTGGCAATGTCGTGCGTCAGCATCTCATCCAGCGCCTCCAGCAGCTTCGGCTTCAGCGAGTGAAACTTGGTGAAGTCGTGCGCCATCAGCAGCTCCTGTGGTGGGGGACAGGGGGACCCAAAATTCAAGCGGCGCCATCCCTGAGGCCCTCAGGCTGCAAGGTGGTACCAGGACACTGGAGAAGCTCAGGGGGGCAGCTTTTGTGGGTTTTTTGGTTGTTGTTTGTTTTGAGACAGAGTCTCGCTCTTGTTGCCCAGGCTGGAGTGCAAATGGCACGATCTCAGCTCACTGCAACGTCTGCCTTCTGGTTTCAAGCGATTCTCCCGCCTCAGCCTCCTGAGTAGCTGGGATTACAGGTGCACACCACTACACTCGGCTAATTTTTGTATTTTTAGTAGAGACGGGGTTTCATGTTGGCCAGGCTGGTCTCGAACTCCTGACCTCGTGATCCACCTGCCTCAGCCTCCCAGTGCTGGGATTATAGGCATGAGCCTCTATGCCCGGCTGTTTTTTGTTTGTTTTGTTTTGTTTTGACAGGGTCTCGCTCTGACACCCAGACTAAAGTGCAGTGGCACCAACATAGCTCACTGCAGCTTCCAACTCCCAGCCTCAAGCGATCCTCTGGCCCCAGTCTCCCAAGTAGCTGGGACCACAGGCACGCACCACCACACCCAGCTAAATTTTTTTTTGTAGAGACAGGGGTCTCGCTATGTTGCCCAGGCTGGTCTCAAAGTCTTGGGCTCAAGCCATCCTCACACTCAGCCTCCTAAAGTGTTGGGATTGCAGGTGTGAGCCACTGCGCCCAGCCAGGGTGGCAGCTCTTTACTGACACATGCAGAAGTATTTGAAGATCTGAACAACCTGATCTGCTCGGGCACCCACCACTCGGAAGATACTTGGGCAACAAGGTCCCGGAGGCTTTCTCCTAAACCCCAGAATTACTGGAGGGTGGGGATGCTGGGGACCCTCCGATGAGTGAGAGTAGCAACCTTCTGCCAGCTAGCAGAGAAGGATTTCAATGTTTTCGCATCAAGTATACCTTTCTCAGAGCATCCACACCGGCCTAGAACCCTAACTGCCCTCTACTGGACTCTAGCTGCCCAGCCAGCATGCACAACATTGAAAATTTTAAAAAAAACTCAGCAGGCATGGGTGGCTCACACTTGTAATCCCAGCACTTTGGGAGGCTGAGGTGGGAGAATCACTTGAGCCCAGGAGTGCAAGACCAGCCTGGACAACATGGCAAAACCATATTTCTTTTTTTTCTTTTTTTTTTTTGACAAGTCTCGCTCTGTCGCCCAGGCTGGAGTGCAATGGTGCAATCTCGGCTCACTGCAAGCTCCGTCTCATGGGTTCAAGCGATTCTTCTGGCTCAGCCTCCCAAGTAGCTGGGATTACAGGCACCTGCCACCACGCCCAGCTAATTTTCATATTTTTAGTAGAGACGGGGTTTTGCCATGTTGGCCAGGCTGGTCTTGAACTCCTGACCTCAGGTAATCTGCCCACCTCGGCCTCCCAAAGTGCCGAGATGACAGGCGTGAGCCACTGCACCTGGCCTCAAAACCCTATTTCTTAAAAAAAAAAAAAAAATTAAAAATTAGCCAGGTGCGGTGGTGCACGCCTGTAGTCCCAACTACTTTGGGAGGCTGAGATAGGAGAATCTCTTGAACCCCAGGAGACAGCAGTTGCAGTGAGCTGAGATAGCACCATTGCACTCCAGCCTGGGTGACAGAGTTAGACCCTGTCTCAAAACAAACAAGGGAGGGGAGAAAAAAGAAAGTTCGGAAAGCTCAGTTCCTGCCACTGCGCTACCACACCACACAGAAAGGACTGAGTGGCTGGCTGCCAAATTTGGAGGTGAGGTTTGGGATGAAGAGATCATCAGGGGTCCCTGGGACCACCGCCTCCCCACCGAAGAAGTCACTTTGTGCTAGCGCAGCTGTAGGGTGGGCTTGGCGTCATGCTGCTGCTCACACGGGCAACTCTCAGTGGCCCAGACTGCACCAGGACTGTCTCTGCAAAGGTGCATTCCTTTCACAGCCCTGTGGGAATTTCCTGAGCCAAGGCAGAGAGGCCAGCTGATCACGACTCTGAAGGGTTGGGGCTCCTAGGTTGCAACCTGGATTCCCAGGCAGCCAGAGTACGACTAAGTTCAAGTCCACTGAGGCAAGCACAGGTTGCATATGCAGCTTCTGCTGTTAGCCTGTCCAGTAGTGCAGCCAGTAGCCACATGTGCTTATTTACATTCATTAAAATGAAATACAGGCCGGGCGCAGTGGCTCACGCCTGTAATCCCAGCACTTTGGGAGGCCGAGGCAGGCGGATCACAAGGTCAGGAGATCGAGACCACGATGAAACCCCGTCTCTACTAAAAATACAAAAAATTAGCCGGGCGCGGTGGCGGGCGCCTGTAGTCCCAGCTACTAGAGAGGCAGGCAGGAGAATGGCGTGAACCCGGGAGGCGGAGCTTGCAGTGAGCCGAGATCGCACCACTGCACTCCAGCCTGGGCGACAGAGCGAGACTCCGTCTCAAATAAATAAATAAATAAATAAATCTTTTAAAGTATTAATTTATTGAGACAGAATCTCACTCGGTTACACAGGATGGACTGCAGTGACGTGATCTCAGCTCACTGCAACCTCTGCCTCCCGTGTTCAAGCGATTCTCCTGCCTCAGCCTCCCGAGTAGCTGGGACTACAGGCATGCGCCACCACGCCCAGCTAATTTTTGTATTTTTAGTAGAGACGGGGTTTCACCATGTTGTCCTGGCCGGTCTTGAACTCCTGACCTCAGGTGATCCACCTGCCTTGGCCTCCCACAGTACTGGGATTACAGGCATGAGCCACTGCACCCTACCGTATATATTTTAAATATTTATATTTTACAAATATAAATATTTACGTCTCAAATAAATAAATGAAAAATAAAATAAACAGAAACCGTTCTTAAAGAGACTGTATACTTTTCTTCCCTTTCCCAACTTCTTGCTGGCTGGAACGCAGACACAGTGGCTGAAGCCTTCACAGCCCTTTTGTACCATGAGGTTCCTTGGGCCTGGAGGCCAGGCATGGAAGAGAAATAAGACAGAAAGGGACTAGATCCCTTGCTCTGTAAAGCACCAAACCAGTCCCGGACCACTTTCTGGGAGTTTTATGGAGGAAAGAAAGAAAAACCCTCTCTCTTAATTTAGCCACTGTTATTTCAGGTTTTCTCATCACTCCTCTAGTCTGACTCATAAAACCACGCTCCCACGGAACTATTTGAGGGAGGTGCTTTCCAGAACCTGCCACCCATCCCTCCGGCTTTTGAGGTCCCATCTCAGAGCTTCCAGAAGCCAACCTTCCCATCACCCACCCCCTAACACTCCCTCCCGGGCAGCTTCCCACCTGCATTTTCTGGCAATCAGGAAAGTCCCCAGGGGAGATGTGATGTTCCAGCTGAATCTTCGCAAAGATGACGGGCAGTTTGAGGATCAGCTGCTTCTTCTTGTTCTCCTTCCCAAACACAGAGGGCATCTCCTTCTTCAGGTAGCTGATGATGTAAGCATGAACCTGTGGGAAGAGTTCTCACCTGAGCCTGCGTCAGGGTCCACCAGGGGGCTTGTTAAAACAAGCTGCTGGCCGCACTCCCAGAGATTCCCATTCACTTGGTCTGGCCTGGGGCATGAGAATTTGCGTTTCTCATCTTTTCTTTCTTTTCTTTTTTTGAGACAGATTATCGCTCTGTTGCCCAGGCTGGAGTGCAGTGGTGCAATCTCAGCTCCCTGCAACCTCCAGCTCCTGGGTTCAAGCAATTCTCGTGCCTCAGCCTCCCAAGTAGCTGGGATTAACAGGTGCGCACCACCACACCTGGCTAATTTTTTTTGTATTTTTAGCAGAGACGGGGTTTCTCCATGTTGATCAGGCTAGTCTTGAACTCCTGACTTCAGGTGATCCTGCTGGGATTACAGGCGTGAGCCACCGCGCCCGAGCAGCTTTTTTTTTTTTTTTTTTTTTCTTTTGAGACAGGGTCTTGCTCTATCGCCCAGCCAGGAGTGCAGTGGTGCAATCATAACTTACTGCAGCCTCAAATTCCTGGGCTCAAGGGATCCTCCCACCTCAGCCTCTCAAGTACCTGGGATTACAGGCAAGAGCCACTGTCTGGATGAGAATTTGCATTTCTGACAAGTTACAGGTGCTACAAGTGGCAGCACCACACTGTGAGCCCCATGGCCTCCTCCTGCTGGGGCTCACCCTGGGCTCCTCCTCTCTTCTAACTAAGTGAGCTCAGTCCCTCCCAGTTTTAAACATCCCTTAAAGAGGTCCACTCCTGAATCTGCATACCAGCCTAAGCCTCTCCCTCCAGTTTAGGACTCAGAGCTAATTGTCTTGTCAACATTCCTGGACAGCTCCATCCCAGGATGCCCTAAGTGGAATCTGGCATGTGCCATTGCACCAGCCCGGGCGACAGAGTGTGACTCCGTCTCAAAATAAATAAATAAATAAATAAAATAAAAAAAGAGTAAATAAATGCTTTTATAAAATGCAACATATCTGGAAAGAGACACAAGAAACTACTTACGGCGGTTGCCTCTAGGAAAGAGGCCCTGGGAGCTGGTGGGATGAGGTGTGGGAGAATCACGTCTGATAAAGTATGAATGCCTTTCCATGAGATGGTCTTAAATGTTCAATAAAAAAGACTTGTTAAAAAATGTCTTTAGGGTCGGGGCGCACTGCCGTGGCTCAAGCCTGCCTAATCCCAGCCCCAGCTTTTGTAGCGAGATGGGTGGATCACGGAATTTGGTCCAGGAGATCAAGACCATCGTGCTGTCCTACACGGTGAAACCCCATCTCTACTAAAAAATGTACAAAAAACTAGCCGAGGCACTCGTGGTTGGGCCCGCCGGCGAGTCCCAGCCTTTACTCGGTGAGGCGTGAGGCAGGGAGAATGGCCGTGAAACCCGGGAGGCGGAAGCTATGCAGGGCGGAGATCCGGGGCCACTGCACTGCCCAGCGCTGGGCTGACAGAGCGAGCTGCCATCTCAAACAAAAAAAAAAAAAAAATTGCGTTTTAGCGGCCAGGCCCGGTCAGGCCGTAATCCGAGACACTTTGGAGGCCGAGGGCTCCGCAGATCACCTGAGGTCCAGGAGTTGCGCAGACCAAAAAGCCGGCCCAACATGTGGCGAGACCGGACCCCGCGCGCATCTCTTACTAAAAATCAAAAATGAGCCGTATGGTGTGGCATCCTGCCTGCTTAGTCCCAGTTACTCAGGAAGCTGAGCGCACTCAAGATTCACTTTAACCTAGGAGACAGAGGTTGCCCAGTGAGCCCCGAGGATGTCGTGCCACTGCCCACTCCCAGCCGCCTGGGGGACCAGAGAAAGACTCCAAAACTAAGAAAATATATTATATTCATTCTTTAAAGCAATCACGGATGTTAGGGCCGGGGCCGCCGGTGGCCTCAATTCCTGTGAATCCCAGCCACTTTTGGATGCGCCCCGGAGCGGCGTGCGATCACGAGCGCTCAGAAGATCTGAGACCCACCTGCGCGGAACCATGGGTGAATACCCCCCGCGGTCTCTGTACCTAAAAAAATACCCCAAAAAACTAGCCGCGGGCGAGATGGCGGGCGCCTCGCAGTTTCCCCAGCGTGTACTGGGAGGGGCTAGGCCAGGAGAATGGACGTGAACGCTGGAGGCCCGGGCTTGCAGTGACCGGAGATGTCGGCCCACTGCCACCCAAGCCCGCTGCGACAGAGCGGGAGCACTCCATCACACAAAAAAAAAGAAAAAAAAAAAAAAAGAATCACGGATTTAGAATGCTGAGAATGTTGGTGGTCCCTGACTGGTTCTAAATCCTCATCTCTTCCACCCTCCACCACCACCCTGTCTCCAGCCCCGTTAGGCTCTCAGTTCAAACACATCAAGTAAATAGCTGCCCCAGGGCCTTTGCACATGCTGTCCTCATTGTATCAACTGCTCTTCCACCCAGTTGCCACTCGGCTCGCCCCTTCCTCTCACCCCTTCCTCTCCTTCAGACCGCTCTAAGATAGTCCCTCGCCAGCCCCTCTTTCCTCTGCTTCATTTTTCTTCATAACTATTGATTTGTTTAATGTCTGCTTCCCCACTAAAAAGTAATTCTATGAGAAAAGGAATTTATCTTTGTGCCCTGCTGTATCCCCAGAGCCTAGAAGAGTGCCGCATGTGCTCGGCAACTGCTGAATGAATGTCATTGGGCCACTGCAGAGAATGTGGTCTGAAGGTTCAGGGCATCTTGGCGTCTTTAGAATCAGACCCTCCCAAGATCTTGGTCTCACATATCACAGCATCATAAAATCGCCCCTTCTAGCAGCTATCACTTCAGTCGAAGGACCTAGAGTCAGAGGATTCGTCCACACCCTCCAACGTACAGATGGGAAACTGAGGCACTGGGAGAAGGGTGATTACCTCGGAGGGGCAGTGAACCTTGGTCACAGCGAACCCAGAATCCCATGCTCCTGTGTCCTGAGCGGCACTGGGGAGCCATGGATGAACCAGCAGGAAGAGGTGGAGGGAGTGCCTAAGGGTCTGAAGGACCAATCAGGGCAGGGGTGTGGCCGGGCTGGGGGCGGGGCCTGTGAGAGCGGGCCAATGGAGTCAGGGGGCAGGGCCGAAGGGCGGCTCCATAGGGACCAAAGGAGGGGAGGCGGGAGGGCATTGATGGCTTTTCCAGAGAGGAAGCAGGGGAAGGTGCCAGGAAGAGATAAGGTGGGAAGGCGGGCTGGGCCGGGGCTGGGTCCCTGACTCCGGGGTTTGTCTGGGTTTCCGGAGCCGCCCCGAGCCCGGCGGGGGCACCAGGTGTCTGGCCCGGCCCCACCCCTCTGTCCCTGAGCCTTGTGCTCCAGCTCCCGCCAAGGGACCCCCGGGAACGAACCTGGGGGAGTCTAAGACAGACCAGGAGGAAGACAGAGAGAAGGTGGCGGCGGCGGAGCGGGGGAGAGATGGAGAGTCAGGAGGAGACAGACAGGGTGAGAAAGAGAAGGAAAGGGAGTTAGAATAAAAGAGAAAGTAAAAATGGAGAAGAGAGAGATTGAGAGAGAGGTAGAAAAGGGACTGATACCGAGACAGAAAAAGAGAGGGACAGACACTGCAGAGCCGCCTGGGCAGAGGAGCGCAAGGTGAATTCCGAAGGTTCCAGGAGTGGCAGCCCCGTCCACACTGGGCCGCTCCCTCCGAAGGAGGATTCCTGGGGTGGGGGTGGGGGTGGGGGTGGGGGCTCTGACTCACCCACTCTCGTTGCTCCTTAAACCAATACCTCAGGCTCCTCCACCCCCTAGAACCTTCTTGGCCTCCTTGCCTGCCCAGCTTCCTGCCCCGCCTCCACCCTGGCAGCCTCCCCTGAGAATGTTCCATTCGACATCCAAAATTGCTCTGAAACCGGCGCTCTCCTTTCTCCTCTCCCTCTGCAAGGCCTGTCCTGATCCAGGAACCTCCAAGCCTTTTGCCTCGTCTCCAGGCTCTAGACTCACCTGCCTTGAATCCACCCTCCAAAAGGCAGCTTGAGTCTAATTATCTCCTTTCCCTGCTCTGAACTTTTCCATGGCTCCCCAGTGCCCTCGGGACAAAGTACAGATTCCCAGACACAGTCCACATCATCTCCAGGGGTCTGACTCTTAGCCACATCCTCAGCCTCAAACTGAGTTATGCACACTGTCTACACTGGGTTCTCTCCTTTCCCTGCTCCAAACCCTTCCTTGGCTCCCCAGTGCCCTTGGGACAAAGCACAGATTCCCGGACACAACCCACACCACCTCTGACCTCAGCCACATCCTCAGCCTGTAATTGAGTTATGCACACTGTCTACACTGGGTTCAACACTGACATTTCCCCCTCAGATGCCCTCTCCTCCAAAGAAGCCCTCTCTGGCTGCCCCAGCTACCCCACCCCAGCTCTGACCACACTGGGTCATCGTTGTCTGGGGATGGGTCTGTCCCCTCTCCAGGAGGCCCAGTGAGGACTGAGCCCTGGAACTGCCTTGATTATTTAGGACTGGGAGCCTCAGCAGGACAGGACTGGAACCACCGTGGTCACTGCTGTGTCTCCTGCACCACCCAACACCAGGCCAGGCATAGAGGAGATTTTGTTCAATGCAACTGTTTGTTTAATGTCATTCATTCAATAAATATTTACAGAGCACCAATTCTGTTCCGGGCGCTGGGGATAAAACACTGAAGGAATTCAAAGAGCCCTGATTGGCTAGGCATGGTAGCTCACACCTGTAATCCCAGCACTTTGGGAGGCAACATGGAGAAACCCCATCTCTACTAAAAATACCAAATTAGCCGGGCATGGTGGTGGGCGCCTGTAGTCCCAGCTACTTAGGAGGCTGAGGCAGGAGAATCGCTTGAATCCAGGAGGCGGATGTTGCAGTGAGCCGAGATCGTGCCACTGCACTCCAGCCTGGGCGACAAGAGCAAAACTCCGTCTCAAAAAAAAAAAAAAGCAAAAGCAAAAGAAATATTTTTGGAATAAACCAATGAACTTGGAAACCTTTGAGCTACAATCTTTTTTTTTTTTTTTTTTTGAGACGGAGTCTCGCTCTGCCGCCCAGGCTGGAGTGCAGTGGCCGGATCTCAGCTCACTGCAAGCTCCGCCTCCCGGGTTCACGCCATTCTCCTGCCTCAGCCTCCCGAGTAGCTGGGACTACAGGCGCCGCCACCTCGCCCGGCTAGTTTTTTGTATTTTTTAATAGAGACAGGGTTTCACCGTGTTAGCCAGGATGGTCTCGATCTCCCGACCTCGTGATCCGCCCGTCTCGGCCTCCCAAAGTGCTGGGATTACAGGCTTGAGCCACCGCGCCCGGCTGAGCTACAATCTTATAAATTATCAAAAAATAAACAAGGAGGGTAGAATAATGAGTATTGGTATGTCTATATTTTACAGGAAGCTCAAAAATTCAATATAACTCATGCCTGTAATCCCAGCACGTTGGGAGGCCGAAAAGGGAGGATCACTTGAGGGCAGGAGTCCAAGACCAGCCTAGGCAACACAGTAAGACCCAGACTCTACAAAAAGTAAAAAATAAGCTGGGCGTGGTGACGCGCACATGTGGTCCCAGCTACTTGGGGCAGGCTGAAGAGGGAGGATCAGTTAAGCCCAGGAGTTCGAGGCTGTGGTGAGCTGTGATTGCATCACTGCACTCCAGCCAGGGCAAGAGAGCGAGACTCTCTCTCTTAAAAAAGAAGGAAGAGGAAAGAAAAGAGGATGTAAGGAAGGAGGAAGGGAGGAGGGAGAGAGGAACAGGAAGGAAGGAAGGAAGGAAGGAAGGAAGGAAGGAAGGAAGGAAGGGAGGAAGGAAGGGAGGGAGGGAGGGAGGGAGGGAGGGGAGAGAAAGAGAAGCAGAAACAGAAGCAGAAGGAGGAGAAGGAGGAGGGGAGGAGGAGGGGAGAGAAGAAGAGGGGAGGAGGAGGAAGAGGAGGAAGAAGAAATAGAAATACCAGGACAGTGAAGCCAGGGTGACACTGTGTCGACACAGAAATCCAAAGGCAGAGGAATGAGTCTCCTTACAGTTCTTCCTCCCTGCTCCACTCTGTGCCAGAATGACCCAACTTCAAGAGAACTAACTAACCTGAGCACTGATAAGTCAGGGACTCACAGCACTGGTAGGGGAGGACGGAGGAAAGGCAGGGGCTCCCCTTGCACCCTCCTCCAAGAATGCGCGCCCAGCCCCCAGGACGACTCACCCGCACCAGCCGGGCCCTCTTCACCAGGTCGTTGAGCTTGCGCAAGGCGGCGTGCCGGGGCAGGCCCTGGATGTCGCGAAAGAGGTCCTGCTCCTCCAGCTCAAAGAGGCGCCGATTGTCGGGCACGAGGAGAGGCTGGGACCAGAAGGAGCCGATGTAGACACGCAACACCTCGGGCGTGCCCACCACCTTGCCCAGCGCCCACATGAGCGCGCCGTAGACGCGCATCAGCTGCTGCGTCTCCACCATGTCGGCCTTGTTGAGCACTACGCGGATCTTGTCCTCATGGCCCCGCAGCGCGCCGATGGCCTCCGAGAACTCGTCCGAGATCTCCAACTTGTGCGCGTCGAAGAGCAGGATGATGAGGTCCACGCGCTCCGCGAACCAGCGCAGCACGGCCGGGAAGTCGTAGCCTGGAGTGGGAGTGGAGAGACAGGGGCGCAAGGGGCAGAAGTCAGACCCCCACCCTCCAGCCATTCAGTAGCATCCATTCTCTTGCATATTGGACTGTAAAGATGTTCACATTGTTGGCTGTCCAAATCCTGTCTAGGCAAAATAGCCAAGGCCCTCAGTGGGTACCACTGCTTTGGTTCCCCAGTCCCCAGAATTTCCCCCCTCACTCTGGTCCCAGCCCCTCAAGTCCTCAAGCCATCTGGTTACAGGGGTAATCATCCCCCTTTTCCTTTGCTGGAGTGCAATGGCGGGATCATGCCTCCCTGAAACCTCCGCTTCCCGGAGCTCAGGCAATCCTCCCACCTCAGCCTCCCTAGTAGCTGGGACCGCAGGCGGCCGTCACCACACGTGGCTAATTTTTTTTTTTTTTTTTTTTTTTTGTAGAGATGGAGTCTCACTATGTTACCCGGGCTGGTCTCATACTCCTGAGCTCAAGTGATCCTCTTGCCTCAGCCTCCCAAAATGTTGGGATCACAGGAGTCAGCCACCGTGCACAGCCTCCAGGCCTCCATTTTTTCATTCGCTCATTCATTAACCAGTTATTAGTGGTGTGCTTTGTAGGTGTGCATGTGTAGGTTGTTAAAAATACTGACATGAGGCCGGGCGCAGTGGCTCACGCCTGTAATCCCAGCACTTTGGGAGGCCGAGGTGGGCGGATCACAAGGTCAGGAGATCCCAGCTAACATGGTGAAACCGTGTCTCTACTAAAAATACAAAAAATTAGCCGGGTGTGGTGGCGGGCACCTGTAGTCCCAGCTACTCGGGAGGCTGAGGCAGGAGAATGGCAGGAACCCGGGAGGCGGAGCTTGCAGTGAGCCGAGATCATGCCACTGCACCCCAGCCTGGGCGACAGAGCGAGACTCCATCTCAAAAAAAAAATACTGATATGTTTGCTAAAAGATCCCCCCGTGCTTCTATGGAACCCCAAGGCTGCCACGTGCTTCTATCACCCCAGCTTCTCCCCAGGATCTGTTGGATCCCCCCATGATCCAGCAACTACAGTTCATGTGCTCTTGCCATAGCAGATTTTTTTTTTTTTTTTTTTGAGACAGAGTCTCACTCTGTCGCCCAGGCTGGAGTGCAGTGGCATGAATGCAGCTCACTGCAATCTCCATCTCCAGGTTCAAGCGATTCTCCTGCCTCAGCCTCCCAAGTATCTGGGATTACAGGCATGCACCACCACACCCGGTTAATTTTTGTATTTTTCATAGAGACGGGGTTTCACCATGTTGGCCAGGCTGAGATGTTAAATATTTTGCATTGATTTAGCAATATTTACTGAGAGTCTCATGTGTGCCAAGCGCTGTCCTGGGAGCCTGAGATACTGCAGAGAACACACAGACAAGATTCTTGCTCTGATGAAGCACCCATCCCAGCCATGGGTTCCCACGCTCATTCATTCATTCCTTTCACCATTCATTTCCTCATTCACTCCTTCATCCACCCATTCTCACCTTTGCTTGTTCACTCATTTAATCACCAGCGAGCAATGCTGAGGCGAGCATTGATTGAGACCCCCTGACTTAGCTGTCTAGAATACCTGGATTTGAATCCCTCCTCTGCCTTGATCTGCTGTGTGATCTTAGGAAAGTAGCTTAACCTCTCTGAACTTGTGTTTTCTCTTCTGTAAAATGCAGATCATAGAAGGACTGTTGTGAAGCCAGGTGTGATGGCTCAAACTTGTAATCCCAGCACTTTGGGAGGCTGAGGCAGGCAGATCATTTGAGGCCAGGAGTTCGAGACCAGCCTAGCCAACATGGCAAAACCCCCATCTCTACTAAAAATACAAAAAAATTAGCCTGGTGTTGGTGGCTCATGCCTATGGTCCCAAATACATGGGAGGTTGTGGCACGAGAATCGTTTGAGCTTGGGAGGCAGAGGTTGCAGAGATCAGAGATAGCATCACTGCACTCCAGCCTGGGTGACAGAGTGAGACTCTGTCCACCCCCCCTGCCCAAAAAAAAAAGGACTGTTGTAAAGATTAAAAGAATATAAATGAGTTTATATATATATATATATATATATATAGAGAGAGAGAGAGAGAGAGAGAGAGAGAGAGAGCGTGCTTAAAATAATGCCTGGCATTGAACTGTACACTTAAAAATTATGTAGGTGGCTGGGCACAGTGGCTCATGCCTGTAATCCCAGCACTTTGAGAGGCTGAGGCAGGAGGATCGCTTGAGTCTGGGAGTCTGAGACCAGCCTAGGCAAGATGACATTCCCTGTCTCTACAGAAAAAAATAAAAATAAAAAATTATCCACGTGTGGTGGCATGCATCTGTAGTCTCAGCTACTCAGGAAGCTGAAGCAAAAGGATCACTGGAGCCCAGAGGTTGGAGGCTGCAGTGAGCCACAGTTGTGTCACTGCACTCCAACCGGCAGATAGAGCAAGACCTTGTCTCTCTCTCTTTTTTTTAAATGGTTGAGCTTTTTTTTTTTTTTTTTTTGAGGCAGAGTCTTGCTCTGTCACCAGGCTGAAGTGCAGTGGTGCGATCTCAGCTCACTGCAATCTCTGCCTCTCAGATTCAAGCGATTCTCCTGCCTCAGTCTCCCGAGTAGCTGGGATTACAGGCGTCACCACACCCAGCTAATTTCCCAGACACACCCGTGTTCACAATCTGGGACCTGCACAGATGTTTGTAGTCACACAATCACAAAGACAATATGAGATGCACACACATCACAGAGAGACCTGCACGAACACACAGGTACAGAGGCACATGTGCACACCCACACAGACACAATCGCACACACATAACCTCCCATGCCCTCCCAAATCCAAAGGCACCCACACAGACACACACACAGTTACACAAAAGATACACTCCTGTACACACACACATTCTCACATACACAACACCACACAGAAGCACACAACTGTATCCCAAGGTATAATCACAGGTAGTCACACACAGCCCAACAAAATCCCCGCAGCCCTGTACCGCCCAATGCAGCCACACAAAGTCACACACAGCCCAGATACACATATATGCCTCATGCACAGGCACACAATGTCAGACTCACACCCACAATGATACACACTAAATCCACAGACACATAGACAACGCCCTTTATGTCTCTCTCTCTCACACACACACTGATACACACACTTCACAATATAACAATATATAGAGACAGAATCAGTTGCACACAATCCCACAAAGTCTCCCATAGCCCTACACAGCCCTTCAGAGTCACACAGAGTCATCCAGCAGGCCGGGCACAGTGGCTCACACCTGTAATCCCAGCACTTTGGGAGGCCAAGGCAGGAGGATCACCTGAGGTCCAGAGTTTGAGACCAGCCTGGCCAACATGGTGAAACTCTGTCTCTACTAAAAAAAAAAAAAAAATACAAAAATTAGCCAGACATGGGTGTGGCGGGTGCCTGCAGTCCCGGCTACTCAGGAGGCTGAGGCAGAAGAATCACTTGAACCCAGGAGGCAAAGGTTGCAGTGAGCCGAGATCGCGCCACTCCACTCCAGCCTACGTGACAGAGTGAGACTCTGTCGCAAAAACAAACGAACAAAACAGTCATCCAGCCACAATTATAGGCACACGCGCACGCGCACACACACACACACAGAGGCAGGTACACAATTCAGTCACACAACCTCAGAGCCAAGGCCATGATGAGGCACGTCCACTGCTATACACAAATGCATGGAACCACCGCACCCAGGAGTACATTCACAGTGACACACTTTCCCAAGATACACACAGAGTCACACACACACCAACAGCTGGACATTCTCTCCTCCTCTTCCTCTACCCCCAAAGCCAGGAAGGGAGACCCCGTTCCCCACTCCCCCACCACCCATGGCCTTTGGACGCCCCTGCTGGCACCCCTGCCCTGGCTGAGAGAGCCGCTCCCTCCCGTTGTCCCAGGCCCAGGCCCTGGGGTGGGAGCCCCAGGAATTCCTCCCCCTCAGCTGGCAGCACATCCTCCCAATCGTTTCTGCAGCTGCCTCCTGCCGTTCTCCCGTGGGGCCTCTGGACGGCGGCCAGGGACACCGTCACCCCCGGCGTCCCCGCCCCACCCCAGGCCCAGCCTCCTCGCCAGGGCCTCTCATCCCTTCTGCCCCACATGGCAGCCTCCTTTGCCCCAGTTCCCGGCCTCCGAGGCCATGGGGGGTGGGGGACACAAGTTCTTGGGGCTGGGGGGCCACAGATGCTGAGCTGGGTTGGGCAGGAGTGGTGGGGGCTCAGCACACCCGGAGGCCCCCGCTGGAATCCACCCCCCGCCGCTCTCCTTGCACAGCTGTTTATAAATTCCAGGCCTGGCCTTGGCCCCCACCCAGATTCCCTTCCCATCCTCTTCTCAGCCCCATCTGTGGCCCAGACGCGGAGCCAGGAGCTCACAGGGCCCAGCTTCCCCTGCCCGGGCTCTGCCTCATCTCTGGGCCTTGTGTCTCCCTGCATCACTGTCTCACTGCCTCGGAATCCCTGTCACTCTTCATCTCTCCCTTCCCATCCTTCCTGCCTGCCCAGACGTGCGGCTCCTGCCCGCTCGCACCACGTGGTCACTCACACGCCTCCCCCACCCATCAATTCGAGCCAGCACGGAGCAGTCACGGCTTCCACTAGCTCCCTGGGCTGCCCCGCCAGCCAGGGCCAGAGGACACAGGCCCAGGTCCCAGTGGAGACACCGCCCCTCCTCCTCTAGACCCAGGAGTCCAGATCCCAGGCCCTCGTCCCTCAGACCCAGAAGTCCAGGCCCAGCCCCTCCTCCCTCAGACCCAGGAGTCCAGGCCCCCAGGCCCTCCTCCCTCAGACCCAGGAGTCCAGGCCCCCAGCCCCTCTTCCCTCAGACCCAGAAGTCCAGGCCCAGCCCCTCCTCCCTCAGACCCAGGAATCGGGCCCCCAGCCCCTCCTCCCTCAGACCCAGGAGTCCAGAGGCCCCCTCCATCCCCTCAGGACCCAGGAGTCCAGCCCCACCCCCTTCCTCTCGACCCCAGAGTCCGGGCCCCACTCACCACGGTCAACTGCTCTGTTTGGCACCACAGGTATACTCGGGGGTGTCAATGATGCTGATGCTCTCCAGGACCTGATTTGGGGAGCCTTGGGCAACCATTGAACCTGGGGAGAGGGAGGTCGGGGTGAACCAGGGTAAGACAGAAGTGAGGAAAACATGCAGAGGGGCTCGGGACGCGTATGGACCAGAGACTGGTATGGCGAAGAAAGACTGTCTCAAACATGAAAAAAGGGACAGGGTCATCTGAAAGCTGTAACAGGTCCGCTCATGTTCGGTAGTTACTTAATTGGTTGCAGTGTGCTGTTCCTTTTTTTTTTTTTTTCTAGCAGAGCTTCACCGCACGTGTCCCAAGGTGATTGATCCCATTTGCAGTATTGAGGCTACAAGAGTGGGCAGAGAGGTCAAGTCTTTGCCTGAGGCTCACCCATGCTGGCTGGGATTTCTGAACCAGGATGCTGACTCACTTGCCTAGGTGCTCCCTTGAATAAGAGAGCAGAGACATGGCATGGGAATGAATTGGGTAGAAGGAGAAGGGGGAAATTGGGGCTGAGAAGGAGGGAAACACAGGTCAGGGAGGTGTGACAGTAGAGTATGGTGGACAGCAAGATGCACCCCAGGGGCTGGTGCTGGGTGGCTCACGCGTTGTAATCGCCCAGCACGGTTTTGTTTGGGAGGCTGAGGGGGTGATCACTTGAGGGACAGGAGTTCGAGACCGCCTGGCCAGACATGGTGAACCCCGTTCTGTTATCCTAACATACAAAAACCGCTGTGCGGTGTGGGTTTGTCTGTAATCCCAGCTAGCTCAGGAGACTTGAGGCAGAGAGAAATGTCGCTTGATCCCAGGGAGGTGGATCTGGTTGCCTGTGAGCTGATGATCGCACCATGCACTTCCAGCCTGGGTGGTTCATATGATATGTGTATATTATTTTTTGTTTCTCAATCAAAAAGAAAAAGAAGGATGCGCCTGGTGCCTCGCTGGTCGATTATCCTGTTTGAGGAAGGTGTTCCGAAGGGTTGACGTTTGCGGAATGGCTTCTCTGGGTCCACTGACGAGGGC